AATTCAAAAAATAGTTTTGAAAAAAAGTGTACTGATTATGTTATTTGGATTGTATAATGGTACAAGATTAATTGTTGAAGAGGTACGAAAAAATGTTAACCGTGCAATCGTGGTTTCGAGAAATTGAGACGGGAAAAAGGTTTACATACCTCGAATAAATTTGGTACCTCATGATCCAAGGCTACCCCCTAAAGTTTCAAAAAGACAATTTCCAATAGTTTCCACGAGTGAAGAAAAATACATAATTAAAAATGTTTATTCTAGATGACAATAGAAACTCTTGCAACCATACCAAAAATGTTGCATACTCTGAAGTGTTTCAAAAAATTTGGACTTTACTAAGTCTTTGTGTTGTATATACTTTCAATTCTTCAAATATTATTTATTCTATTTTGATGTTGATGTATATATAGTATTAAAAATCATGTAAGAAATTTATTTTACTTAATCCACAAAAAATAATACATGTAAAAAAAGAATTGAAATTTTTTTTGTTCAGCCCCGTGCATGGCACGGGTCAAAATACTAGTAAGAGAATAAATGTTAGTTTGGGTTTGGTTTATGGTTTTTATTTCGGTTCATATTTAGTTTAAGATTCAATCGGGTCAGTAACGGACAAATTCAAATTTGAATACTAATAAAAGTATTCATGAAAATTTTCAGACTAAAATGTATTAAATATTTAAAATTTTAAAGACAACATAAAATTTAAGATATTAACAAAAATAATTATGAACAAATGACCCTCAAATAATTAAATATTAAGTTTCGACTAATAATATACAGAGTACGAAGAAAATAACATAAAAGTGACATACAAGATTTATCCACAATAAAAAATAAAACACAAATAATGTGATAAGTTTTAATTGTGATACTTATTCTAAAATGAATATAAAATGGGAAATAGACATTTGTAAATTGCATATAAAATGAATATACTACGGAGTAATTTATAAATTGCATACTCCGTATAAAATTGCATATAAAATTGCATATAAAATGAATATGAATTGGAGTAGGACTATAGGGATATTTTAAAGGGTCATGCTACACTTACACCACAAATTATACCCCATTTGTACACCGCAGTTATACACAAACATTTTGATAGTTTACACCGACACAAGTGTTAGTGCGTTAACAAAAATTTACACGGACACAAAGTGTTGGTGCATTAAAAAAATTGGTTAAACTGCAGGGTACAAAGTGAGGTACAAAAGTTCTGTACAAATAACTTAATCCTATTTTAAATCCCCGCCACCGGGCTACAAATTTTTAGGGTTCTTCAATTTATCAATTCGCTCCCACTGACAAACTCAACTTATCTCTAACATTTGACAACACGTAAGTACG